ATATACATATATATACATATATATACATATACATATATATACATATATATAGATATGTTCTCCAGCTCATGAGACGCACAAATGAACACAGGAGAATTTCCAAATCCTCACTTCACTTTGCAACAATAGAAAAATTGCAATAACTTAGTTATTTTACCTATTATTTTTGTTTTTTAAATTATTATTATTTACCCATTACCTATTTTAAATATTAGATATTTTTATTTTGAGTACTTTTCGTCACCAGCAGCAGAAGCTTCTCTCCTTCCATAATGTTCTTAATACGTTCAGACGCTTGGCAGCACGACGGCTCAATGGTTAGCACTGTTGCCTCACAGCAAGAAGGTCCTGGGTTCAATCCCCAGTTGGCCCTGTGGTCTTTCTGTGTGGAGTTTGCATGTTCTTCTCATGCTTGCGTTGGTTTTCTCCGGGTACTCCGGTTTCCTCCCACAGACCAAAAACATGCATGTTAGGCTGCCTTCAGGCCCAGACCTCCCTTGCAAAAGAGATCTATGATCTCAATGGGATTTGCCTGGTTAAATAAAGGTTAAATAAATAAATTGTACGTTCAGACACTTGTACCTGGTTTCTGAATAACAGCGTTGCAGGCGTTGGCTATCTCCTCTCTTTTGGCCTCATCTGGATACTGGTTGTCGTTGAAGTAGCTATAAATAACAACAGTGTGTTTAAATTAATTTCACAACACATGGACTGGAGTTATTGTCATGTCTGCTGCACAGCCAGTCCAAATGACAACCGTCACAGCTTTTATTTCCTCCGAGTTCAGGTCGTCATTGGTCCTCAAGGAAATAAAAAGTGCAGCAATAAAACAATCTTCCATCTTTTAAGTCTTAAACAGGATTTTGTCCTCCTGTCCTCACCTCTCCATCACAGCCAGACACTCTTTCCTCCACGTGAAGCGGCTTCCTCGGCGTAGCCGGAAAGTTCCGGGAGCTGTGGTGAGGGGCGGAGGGGTTTGTCTCCACTCCATCTCCTCCAGGGGCAGCGGAGCCGGCCGCATGTTCAGAGTCGCACCTGAAACAGCAGAATCAGTTCCTGATGTGAGCAGGTTTCAGAGAGTCCAGCTGCCATACATCTGTGGGTGTGTGTGAAACTAAAAGCCCAGAGACCAGGTGGGAACATTGAGGAACTCTGTTTTCACCCCTGAACCATTGAATGACAGCAGGAAGTGAAACCACATGAACTGTCTGATTGAAACAAAAACAGTTTGACTTTCAGGTGGCTGCACTGTGGAGAGGTCTAACTGGGCCACACAGCCCAGGCTATCAGAACACCAGGACTGTTTCTGCAGCACTGAGGAAGGAGGGGGGCAGAGGTGTGCTGAGTGGGGCCGGGCTCCAGCTGGACAGAAATAGCAGCGAGCAGTCTGTAGTGCTGACGGTGTTGGCAGGGCTCCATCGAGGAGCGTGCTGCAGAGGACAAGGCGTGGAACATCTGCTGCAGACATGTGGATCTGGGCACGTAGGTTTGGATCTGTGACGTGCACTGAACAGAAATATAAACCCAACACTTTTGCTTTTGATCCAGTTTTCCATGAGCTGACCTCAAAGATCAGAGACTTGTTTTTCGTACACTGTAGGCTTTTCCCAAACAGTGTTCACACATCTGTGTTTGTGAGCATTTCAGCTTTGCTTAACCCCTCCCCCTCACAGGTGAGGCATAGCAAGATGCTGATTAGACAGCATGATCAGAGTCAGTCAGAGATAGAGATTCTTTATTGTCATTCTCACCACATGTGGTGAGATGGGGTCCCTTGCACAGGTGTGTTTTAGGCTGACCACAATAAAAGGCCACTCTAAAATGTGCAGTTTTATCACAGCACAAAGCCACAGATGTTGTGAGTTTTGAGGGAGCAGCAGTTGGTTGCTGACTGCAGGAATGTTCATGTTCAGCGTATTTGGCAGTTCACCCAACCAGCCTCACAACTGCAGACCACGTGTAACCACAGCAGCCCAGGACCTTCAACTGTAACACCTCCAGGAGAGCCCAGCCACCAGAACAGCTGCTGCAACAACTGGTTTGCATAACCAAAGAATTTCTGCACAAACTGTCAGAAACAGCTCAGGAAGCTCATCTGCTGCTCGTCATCCTCACCGGGGTCTCCACCTGACTGCAGTTCATCGTCGTAACAGACCTGAGTGGTGAATGCTCACATCCGATGGTGATGACCTGTTGGAGAGGAGCCCTCTTAATGGATGAATCCCAGTTTTCAGTGAACAGGTCGATGGTACACTGCATGTATTGCATCATGTGGGTCAGCGGTTTGAAGATGTCATCGTTGTGAACAGAGTGGCCCATGGTGGAGGTGGGGTTATGGTGTGGGCAGGTGTTTGTTATGGACAACAAGCACAGGTCATTTTACTGTTGGCATCTTGAATGCAGACACCGTGACGAGATTCATTCATGACCATCAGTAAGTTGCAGCGTGATAATGCAGGGCCCCATGTTATAAGGATCTGTGCACGATTCCTAGAAGCTGAAAACGTTCTTGCGTGGCCAGCATCATGTCACCCACTGAGCATGTTCAGGATGCTCTGGATCAGTGTATACGGCAGCGTGTTCCAGTTCATGACAACATCCAGCAACTTCCCACAACCACTGAGGAGGAGTGGACCAACACGCCACAACCAACAACCTGATCAGATCTAAGAAGTATTGGACTGTGGTGGTCACACCAGATATGTACTGGATTTCTGACACCCCTCCTAATAAAGTACAAATGCCACAAAAGAGTGGCCTTTTATTGTAGTCAGCCTAAGGACCACCTGTGCAACAATGCTGCTGTCCAATCAGCATCTTGACATGCCTCACCTGGTGGAGCGATTATCTCAGCAAACAAGAAGTGCTCACCAACACAGACTTACACAAACTTGTGAACAGTACGCCGGTGAAGATTATCAGTCATGCAGGTCAGGATCAATCCCCCAAAATGTAAAAAAAAATAAATATATATATATATATATATATATATATATATATCAACAACAACAACAACAACAACAGGACTTCTATTCTGAAGCTGAAGACATTTCCAACCATCTGGGAGGATTTATCAACTCTAAAATTTTGAGTGGCCTAAATTCAGAATATTGAAACATCTTCAGCTTCAGAAGTCCAGTTGTTTCTGTTTTTAACTTCTTTTTTAATTATTTGAGAAAAAAGGCCTTTTGTGTACATTGAAAACGTCTTGGATCTTTGAGTTGAGCTCATGACACATGGAAGCCAAATCAAACGGGACTTATCCATTTGATTCACCTAATCCACAGTTTTGTTAGGACTCGTCTGCAGCGGTGGTGAAACAGACGAGTAAAGATGGAGGTGAGATGATATCTGTTTATTATCATTTACTAACTGCACACTTACTGATGCTTCATCATTCACACGTTTCGCTTCTTACTTTATCTGTTGAAGGAAGATGTTTCTGTGAGTTTCATCCATGTCTGCACTGAGATGATTCATTAAGTCACTTTGTGACATTACAAAATACATCCAAGCAAAAAGCTTTGATTCAAGGCTTCACTTCATCCACCAGGCAGAAAACTGCCCAGTGGTCCGTGTTTCACAGGGACAAGTATTCCTGTCGCACAACAGCTCAGTGTGCAACAGCAGGAGGCAGAAAACAGTGAGAAGAAACTCAGAAGAGACCCGAAAGGCTAAAAATGAAAAATGAAAGCAAACTTGAAGTACTTTACAGTAAAACTAAAGGAGGTCACCGCAGCGGTGCGATGCACAAACACACCTCTGGGATTAAAACGACACTTTGTGCAGACAGTGTTTCAGAGAGGACGTGTCAGAAATCATCCTGCAGAGAACAGAACCAATCAGAGGCGCTGAAACTGACTGATGGCTCTCTGAGCCTCTTCACACTCACTCTGACAAGAAATGACTTTTTCTACTTATTACTATATTATTACTATATTATTGCTATATTATTACATTGGGACTTATTACTACTAAGTCCTGTTTTTATAAACGCTGATGCATTTTCATCTGAGGTATGTTGGAGGACGTGCATGTTTGAAGGAAACAGCTTCAAACTGAAACATTATCCAGCTCCAGCTGGAAGCATCACCTCGTACGCTGAAAAGTCTGAAACAGTTTGTTACAAACATCCTGACATCTGCAGACAAAGGTACGGAAACATTATTCTGGGCACGTTTTATAACAAATAAAACAATAATTATTTTTCATAGTGTGCTGTCATGCGTCTCTGCATGTGCGGTTCTGAAAGCAGAATGGATCATCTTTGATTCTGGGTGGAAATCAGTAGCATCAAGCACAAAATGCTGACTTCAGCAACAAACTGCAGACACACCAGAGGCTCCAAATGTCCACTGGATATCAAATGTCTCTTTAGAGCAGGTAGTGGGACCACCTCTGCTGCTGTCTCCACATCGTTTCTACTCATTCACACCTGACTTAGAGAAACAGAAGTGTGTGTGGCTGACTGTTGCAGCCGTGTGTACCTGGCGTTGTTTTCTCCAGGATGTACCAGCGGTAGAAGGCTCTCTTCTTCTGCTCGCTCAGGTCGGAGCCGTGCTGCAGCAGCCAATGGGAGATCCTGCTCTGACTGATGCCTGGAAGGAAGCCAAACATCGAATTACAACAGGCTTCACTCCAACACGAGAACAATGTGCACATTTTCACTCAGAGAATGAAGAAAGACCCCTCAGCTCTGATTTTACAAGAGCTGTAAAGTTAACATTCAGATCTGCCTCTTTCTGTGGTTGCACTCATGTTTCCTGGCCTGCTGAGAGCTTCTGTGTGTTTTGTGTAAGCAGATGTTTAAAGGGCCAGCCGGTGAAAATAAATGTAAATCTAGAGGTTTATCAGAAACAGGGATAAGAAGGGGATAAAATCTGTAAAGCTCCTTTCAGGCCGTGTCATTTTCCATTCTTCTGGTGGCAGCTGAACATGATGCTATTTGTTTCTGAATTCCCTCATGGCACTTTTTTACTGAAACAAGGGCAAACAGACAAGGTCAGATCTGGTCTGTGCATATCACTTTCTGGATTGCTGCAGCTACATCAACATCAGCAGTGACTTCAGTGGACTTCTGAATAGATGTTCAGATACATCTGTTTAAACCATCTCCTCCATCCGTTGATACTTACCGTAATTGCCAGTGTACAAGCTGCTATTTTTTTCTCACACTTTGTACCCAGTAGTTTGCATGCAGGAGTGTCTCTCTGTAACTTCCTGCCACTGACTAACATTTTCTTTTAACAGAGCTGGGTGCGCATGGCTCCCAGCACCCCACCCCTCTTGGGGCAGGAGTTTGTGACACAGAGAGAATGTCCTCAGGTAATCAGATGTACAGTGACTCTTGATCAGGGTTTCAAATCCCCAACCATAACTACACCCACTCTGTCATCATGTGACCAGAAGTCTAACCTGAATGACCAATGAGGTAATCTCCTGGACCGTCCCCCAAGATAGACGTGAATTAATTTCTTCAGATCGTTCCCATGTTGTTACCATATTTTGCGCTTCATGCACAGATCTGTTCATTTGTTCAGCGATAACAGAAAACGCACAGAGAATTTCTTACTTTCTAACTGTCAAGTTAAAAGCAATCAATCTGGCTGTCGAACAAGGAAAGAGCGCTGCCAGTAAGCTGCATCATCATGTCGATGGTCAGACATTGGAGACGCAAAGCAGTCAAGTCTGGTACATGTTTTAATAAAATTCTTTCTGTGTACGGTAAAAATGCATTTAAATACCGGGATCTCATTTTAAACTCACATCCGAACACATGAAATGGAGCAAAGACAATGAACGGGAGGGGTCTTCCCCCTCCCGTTCTGTCATGAGAACTCAGTGGAGAAGTCGTCAGATTTATTTTTAAAGCAGTCCGTCAGTCAAGACTGATACATATTTAATTAAAAGTTGAAAAAAAAAAAAATCTGTGCACGATAAATAAATGTATAAATACCATGATCTCATTTAAGCTTAAACGGGTGCATGAAACGCAGCAGAGTAGGCAATGGGAGGGAGGGGCTCTTCCCTGTTCCTCCCTCCTGCTCATACAAGCTCTTTGCCGAGTAGAAATCACATCAAATTTATTTAGAAAATACATTTAAAAACAGCAGCTGTTACCAAAAGTGTTTAACAAAAAAAATCAACGGTACTAGTTCAATGAATATTTACCATATTTTACGGGTACCATTTGACTTCCGGTCACATGACCTGGATAATACTTCTGGGTAATATTTACTGGTATATAGTTTTTAAATAATTTTGGTTACGTAGGTGTTTGGCACTGTTATATCCAGTGATTATGCTTAGATATGTGTATGATGATATTGATATGATATTGTGTTCATTTTGAAGGGTTAACGGTTTTAACCATGAGTTAGACAGTGAAGCATCATGAAGCCGATGATCATAACATGTGTTAAAAGCGAGCTATAGTCTGTGAAATGCCATCTGATGGCTGATTCTTGTACTACAACAAGAAAAGTGCACTTTATATCTGAGCTGGCTGGGTACAGGTCCTGAAGATGAACGGTGGATGCCCGTGGCTAAATAACCAGAGCGTCTTATTTATGTAAAAATTATGATTTATCTTATATTTATTTAGTATGTGCAGCTTAGAAACGGATGCGTTCTGTAGTCCAAGAATTACGGTAGCTGCAGCAGTCGTTTTGGTAAGAGTCTGTGCCAAATCAACAAGTAAACCGCTTAAGGTAGTTTGAGCTGCAGCAGAAAATTCTGTTTTGTTTTCAAATACCACCTTGTGAACAAACAGCTGAGGATTTTTTTTAAATGCCAATGTTAGAGTCAGACTGTATTGATGCTAGTGTTGTAAAAAAAAAAGCTGAGGATGGAGCTTAAAAAACAACAACAGTGGTGTATCAGTGGACTGGACTGCATGGACTGCACTTATATAGCGCCTTTCTATCTTATTTCAAGATACTCAAAGCGCTTTACACTACAATCTGTGCCCCATTCATACAGCACTCTACATCTCTAGAAAGCTAATTGAACAAATCCTTCTAATTAGACTAATCGCTGCTTTAGATCACATTCATACACTGATGGGACACACATCAGAGGCTATGAGGGGTTCAGTGTCTTGCCCAGGGACACTTCGGCATGTGACTGCTGGTGGTTTCAAACCCCCAACTCTCGCATTGGAGGACGACTGCTCTAACCACTCAGCCACAGCCGCCCCAGTGTGAGTTTGGATACTACTAACCTGTTACTTGTGCCACCACAGCCTGAGAGATCCTCCGGTTCCCCAGGAAAGATTTGATCTCTTCTTTTACCAAACTGCTGTCCCTTCTGCAAACAAAGAGCACAGTAACCACAACATTTCTCAAGACCTTTTGGAAGGTGCCAATACAACAACTATTGCTTGAAACTCAACATATATTAACTTTAATTTTCAAAAGTCTTTTGAGACTTCCTGTTATAAAATTGAAGCTGACAACGCCAACGTTTTGATACAGGAAGTGAAAAAAGAACAAAGAGTAATATAAATGTTGAACCTGTGGCTGATGGCTCATTAGGGTCACCTTGTTAACCGCACATCTGGGTCTACCAGTCTGACAGCACTCTTGATAAGACCGCCAACGTGTAAATTAAACCCCAGTCACTGTGAAACAACTAAAGCCCTATTCGCACGTGATTAGTTTTACCTAGGGACCACATGCTATTTGCAATAATTACGGACATTGTCTGTGTTGTTAATCCCGTGCGAGTTGGCCATGTCAGTAATTTGTAAAATGAAAATTACCCCATAAATTACCTACTACAAACCGGATTCCAAAAAAGTTGGGACACTAAACAAATTGTTAATAAAAACTGAATGCAATGATGTGGAGGTGCCAACATCTCACATTTTATTCAGAATAGAACACAAATCACAGATCAAAACTTTAAACTGAGAGAATGTATCATTTTAAGGGAAAAATCTGTTGTTTCCAAATTTCATGGTGTCAACAAATCCCAAAAAAGTTGGGACAAGTCCATTTTTTCCACTGTGTGGCATCCCCCCTTCTTCTTACAACACTCAACAGACGTCTGGGGACAGAGGAGACCAGTTTCTCAAGTTTAGAAATAGGAATGCTCTCCCATTCATGTCTAATACAGGCCTCTAACTGTTCAATCGTCTTGGGCCTTCTTCGTCGCACCTTCTTCTTTATGATGCGCCAAAAATTCTCTTTAGGTGAAAGATCTGGACTGCAGGCTGGCCATTTCAGCACCCGGATCCTTCTCCTATCCATGATGTTGTGATTGCTGCAGAATGTGGTCTGGCATTATCGTGTTGAAAAATGCAGGGTCTTCCCTGAAAGAGATGACGTCTAGATGGGAGCATATGTTGTTCTAGAAACCTGAACATAGTTCTTTGCATTAATGGTGCCTTTCCAGACATGCAAGCTGCCCAAGCCACAAGTGCTCATGCAACCCCATACCATCAGTGATGCAGGCTTCTGAACGGAGCGTTGATAACAACTTGGGCTATCCTTGTCCTCTCTGGTCCGGATGACATGGCATCCCAGTGTTCCATAAAGAACTTCAAATCGTGACTCATCTGACCACAGAATAGTCTTCCATTTTGCCACACTCCATTTTAAATGACCCCTGGCCCAGTGCAAACATCTGAGCTTGTGGAGCTTGCTTAGAAATGGCTTCCTCTTTGCACTGTAGAGTTTCAGCTGGCAACGGCGGATGGCACGGTGGATTGTGTTCACTGACAATGCTTTCTGGAAGTATTCCTGAGCCCATTCTATTTCCTTGATAGTGGCATTCCTGTTTGAGGTGCAGTGACGTTTAAGGGCCCGGAGATCACGAGCATCCAGTAGAGTTTTACGGCCTTGACCCTTACGCACAGCGATTGTTCCAAATTCTCTGAATCTTTTGATGATGTTATGTACAGTTGATGAGGATAACTTAAAAGTCTTTGCTATTTTACGCTGGGTAACACCATTCTGGTATTGCTGCACTATCTTTCTGCGCAACAATGGTGGAATTGGTGATCCTCTTACCATCTTGGCTTCTGAGAGACACTGACACTCTGAGAAGCTCTTTTTATACCCAGTCATGTTGTCAATTGACCTAATTAGTGATAATTGGTCTTCCAGCAGTTCGTTATATGCTCAATTTCCTTTTTCCAGCCACTTATTGCTACTTGTCCCAACTTTTTTGGGATTTGTTGACACTGTGAAATTTTGAATCAACATATTTTTCCTTTAAAATGTTACATTTACTCAGATTAAACTTTTGATCTGTCATCTATGTTATATTACGAATAAAATATTGACATTTGCCATCTCCACATCATTGCATTCAGTTTTTATTCACAATTTGTTTAGTGTCCCAACTTTTTTGGAATCCGGTTTGTATATTTTACTGAACTCCAAGGTTATGTGATAATACTAATCCCATGCAAAAAGGTATCTCTGTGATTTGGACAGAAATAGGTGGGATCCAATACGTAATGAGGTGTTTTTTGTTTAAGCAAAATAATTTGGAAAAATATAGAACAAGGCTATTTTACATGAACGCGCTGCTCACTTTGGCTTTTATAGATGCTGCTACTTCCTTCACCGCAAATGACAGCAGGTGCAGAAATGCGTGTGTGATCAGCTGACACACCCACCCATCCATTCATCCATCCATCCACTATATTTACCCGCTTCTTCCTTTTCAGGCAGCGGGGGTCACTGGTGCCCATGTCCAGCCATCACTGTGCGAGAGGTGGAGGACACCCTGGACAAGTCGGAAGTCCATTTCAACGGGTCAGCGGACAAGTGGCGGGTCAGCGGATGTGCAGTGGGTCAGCAGACATGTGGCGTGTCAGCGGATGCACGGACGCTCGCGCGCGGCTGGAGACAGGTTGTCCATCTGAGCTTAACGTGGCTTTTTTTTTTTACCTCTTAAACCGGCCGGTCGGACCTGCCTCCTCCTCAACAAGTAGATTAACACAATTTTATATTGTGCATTCTTTAGTTTTCTTTGTGCTGATTTGTAAAACCACATCAAAGCCTGAGACCGGCTTGACACGCACATTAAACACATTATTATGGACCGGCCCAGTCGTGACAACGCAGAGCGTTAACATCATATCCAGAAGATATCCGTAAATTTCAGCTAAATCTCAGACTATGGTTATCCCGTGCGAACATGCCACATAAAAAGCAGACGTTGGTGAGTAATTTATTTATTACATGTGGTCCCTAGGTAAAACTAATCCTGTGCGAATAGGGCTTAAGTTTTGTTGAAAAAAGTACCTGAACTGTAAGTGCTCGTCTCACATGTCAATATTCATGTTTCTAGAGTGCTTTACAAGGAAAGAGTACTAAAATCAAATACACAAAGAAAGTACAGTTACTCTGTTGAAATATTACTCAAGTACAAGTAAAGTTACTTGTATAAAAATCTACTCAGGTAAAAGTAAAAAGTTTTCATCTCCATCTTCTACAGCTTATTTGAGGCAACAGGTCCAGGAGAGAAACCCAGACACCTCTCTCTCCAGCAACACTTTTCAGCTCCTCCTGGGGGACCCCGAGGCGTTCGCAGGAAGTTCTGGGTCTGCACTGGATCCTCCTAGTGGAGCATGCACAGAAAACCTCAGAATCAAGGAGGAATCCTAATCAGATGAACCACCTCAACTAACTCCTTTTGAGGAGGAGCAGCGGCTCTACTCCGAGCTCCACCCAGATGACGGAGCTCCTCACCCTATCTCAAAGGCTGACCCCATAAAGGAAGCTTATTTCAGCCATTTGTATCTAGGATCTGGTTCTTTCGGTCATGAGCCAAACCTCATGACCACAGCTGAGGGTTGGATCATAGATGTACGAGTAAATTGAGAACTTTGACTTTTGATTCAACTCTTTCTTCATCATTACTGACCAAAACAACACCTTCATTACTGAAGATGAGGCCCCGGTCCCTCGATTAATTTCCCGTTTTGTCCTACCATCATTCGTGAACAAGATGACCAGATACTCTAACTCCTCCACCTGAGGCAAAGACTATTCCAACCCTGAGGAGGCATTTCTAGTTGAGCACCACGGCCTTGAGCTGATTTTCATCCCAGACACTTCACACTCGACTGCCAACTGCACCCGTACATGCTAAATGAAGTAAAAAGTAGGTAATACCAAATGTACAGTATATATTTGTGAATTTTATCTATTCTGCACAATGTATTACCAAGAAAAGCACACTATTCTAAATAAAATAACATGGTCATGCATTTTGTGATGAAGTTTTCCAAAGCTCCTGGAAGAAGGAATAAACAAAATAATAATGAAAAAGAAGGATGACAGACAAGTATTCTTAAAAATGCTTTAACACTGATGCACACTTAGGGCTGATAGCAACAGAACAAACTGTGGTATTTTTAAAAGACGTAGCAGAAACAACAGGACTAATGAAGCAGAACAGAATCTTTGGTTCCTGCTGTGCTGCAAGTTGCCATTTCTTTCTTTAGGAACGTAGAACGTTGAGACACTGTCACGCTGCAACAGATTCATACCCATCTGCACCCATCCACCCACAGGGACACCTGGACAGGTCTCCAGTCCATCACAGGGACACCTGGACAGGTCTCCACTCCAGTCCATCACAGGGACACCCGGACAGGTCTCCACTCCAGTCCATCACAGGGACACCCAGACAGGTCTCCATTCCAGTTCATCACAAGGACACATAGAAACAAACAATCATTCACTCTCTCTCTCACCTAGGGTCAATAGTTACCAATCAGCCTAACATGCATGTTTTTGGTCTGTGGGAGGAAACTGGAGTACCTGGAGAAAACTCAGAGAAAACATTAAAACTGCACCCAGAAAGGCCCTCAGCCGGGATTTGAACCAGCGACCTTCTTGCTGAGATGAACCCGCTCTAACCACTGCTCTCTCGTGCCACCACTACATCCATTCATGATAAAACTCTTAAAGCCTTTTCACTTTTTATTCTGAGCTTCACTGTGACAGCTTCACCACCACATGCCTCCTGCATGATCAGTGCTGCATTTCACAGGAACACAAAGGCGGCGCCGCCATAAACTAAGGCACAATCAAATCATGTGCATTTTCAGAATGTCTTCAAGGGGCATGTTATTACAGTCTCCGTCCTCAGCGAGGGGAAGGAAAAAAATAAAAACATGCACAGACTTGCAGAAACGGAGGATGTGCAGTCACAGAGTGTACCCACCCTGCTTTCTGGCAACAAGCCTACTCTCTTCCCTGATACTCAGACACACAAACACACAAGCTTATAGCGGTCTTGGCATGATTTCTCCCGGGCACAGAATGTAGTCAATGTTTGGTGCA